AACATGGGACTTGAACTAGGCCACAAGATGAACAGTTCATCGGAGTGTGTGACAGCACAAATCTCAATAGCTGGTTGGGTGTGGACAGGTTTGTAGTACAGGCATTTGTTAACAATGAGGAGTCCTGTGGCACCTTAGAGAATAACAAATACATACATAAAAAAACTTCTTCAGATGTGCCCATGAAAGCTCATGATACCATCTACATGTTCTGTTAGTCTTTAAGGGTATGTCTACACTGCATTCCTCTTATAAGGAAATGCAAAGGAACAAAATTGCAAATGAAGCGTGGGGTTTGAATTTCCCATGTTTCATTTGCATAATCGCGTCCGGGCGCTATTTCGAAATACCCTATTTCCAAAAAAGAAACGCTGTCTAGAAAGGGCAATTTCAAAAGTAGGGTTTTCTTTTGAAATAACTGCGTCTACGCATTTCTTTTTTCGAAATCGGGTATTTCGAAATAACGCCCAGACATGATTATGCAAATGAAGCGTGGGAAATTCAAATCCGCACTTCATTTGCAATTTCATTCCTCTGCATTTGCATTCCTCTCTCAAAAGAGGAATGCAGTGTAGACATACTCTAAGGTGCTACTAGACTATTCATTTTTTAAAAAGTTTTTCCTGGTACAGACTAACTCGGCTACCCCTCTGACACTTAAATACATACATATCATGAGATTTCATGGGCAAAACCCACTTCTCCAGATGAACTTGAGTGGAGGAAAAGAGGGGGGACCCTCACAATTTATAACAGAAAAAGGGAGGAAAAAAACCACCCTGTCAATTGTAGTGCCAATGCTAATGAGGCTAGTTGAGTGGGCTGGAAGTGTCCCATACTTGCTTTTGATGTCAGTGGAGGGTTGAATGTAAGGAAAGCTGTTAGTTTGAGGCAGGGCTTCTCAGACTTCTTGCTAGCCTGCAATACTTTCCGAGGTAGGGCCTGTGATCACTCTCCCCTCCCCACATAAGTGATAGCAAATTCCTGTACTTACTCAGAAGAGCATACTTGTGGTACTGCCATCCTTCTGTGCTGCTGCTGGCAACATTCTGCCATCTGAGCTGGACTGCTAGGCTACGTCTACACAGCAGCGTTATTGTGGAATAACTGATGCTATTCCGAAATAACAAAGAGCAAGTCTACCCAGCAAACCTTTATTTCCAAATAATGGCGAGTTGGAGGACTTATTCTGACTCCTTCCACCCTCATTGTACGAGTAAGTGAAGTTGAAGGAAGAGAGTGTTCTTACTTCAACACTCTACTGTGTAGACAGCACCAAAAGGTGAGTTAAGCGGTTTTGACTTCGGCTACTCAATTGATGCAATTGGAAGTTGCACAGGTTAATTTGACTTTTGCCCTGTTGTGTAGACATGCCCCTAGGCTACGTCTACACTGCAGGCTTCTTGTGCAAGAAGCTTTTTGCGGAAGAGATCTTCCGCAAAAACTTCTTGCGCAAGATCGTGTCCACACTGCAAAAGCGCATCGGAAAAGTGATGCGTTTTTGTGCAAGAGAGCTTCCACGCTGCATGGACATTCTCTCGCAAGAAAGCTCTGATTGCCATTAACAGAACGGCCACCAGGGCACCGGTACTTCTTTCGACAGGCTGTTTTTGCACAAAAACCGTTTCCCATCCACACACAGACCTTTTTGCACCAGAGCTCTTGCACAAAAAGGTTTATTCTTCATAGAAAGAGGACTAACCACTGCACAAAATCCCCTCTCCTGATTTACTGTAAACTTACTTGCACAAAAATGTGCTTGCAGTGTGGACGCTCCGCGAGTTTTTGCCCCAAAACAGATGTTTTGTGCAAAACCTCTGCAGTCTAGACATAGACCTAGAGAGCAGCAGCTGCAACTCCCCCCTCACAGGCTATATCTGTTGTAATCTTGCAATCCCCCTGTGACGGGGCGCTCCCGCCCCGCACTCGGGGTGACGGCGGATGGACACGCCGGGGGTGGAGAGCCGGCACGCCTCTGGGGCGGCGGGCCGCGCTGCTGAGGCAGGGCTCAGCGCGGCAAACGATGGGGAGCAAGGAGAGCCTCTGGGCAAGGCCCAAGGAGGAGGGGCTAGAGAGGCGCCGGCGTGTGACGTCACGGGGGAAGGGAAGTTGCTGGGCGGCGTGGAGATGACGTGCGGGGACAGGGCCGGCGGGGGGATTTAAACTCCGGTCTGGCACCGTGGAAAGGGGAGAGAGAAACGGAGAGTCAGGGAGCAAGGAGGAAGGAGAGGTGACGCTGGGATATGCGGTAGGGACCGGCCCTTAGGAAGGGCAGAGTAGGAAGCGGCCCAGGGCAGGGTCGTGGAGCCCGTGAGCGGGTGTGATTTGGGGTACTTCCCCCATCCGCTAGGGAGAGACCGTGAGTCCCTGCCTTCAGGGCCTTGGGCCGGGGTTCGGAGAGGGGATGGGCCTGAACCCTCCTACTCCGTTGGCCAGAGAGGCAGCCTAGAGCGTGCATTGGGAGCCAAAAAAAGGAATGTGAACAGGGCGGGTTTCCGCTGCGGGTTGTGCCTGTGGCTACAGGACTGTCCCGTAGGACCAATAAACACAGGTGACATTAGCCTTGTTGGTGGTGAACTAGTCCAGACTCTCTTACATCCCCTACAATAGCTTTGCAACCACCCACCCTTTTGGGTTGGGACCCCCAGGTTGAGAAATGCTGGATTAAGATGATCAGGCCAAGAGGTTACCTTATTAACCAATTCCCTTGAGGATCCAACAAACTAGTAAAATTTACCTTTTTCCTATACATTTAGACCATTTTGGGATACTGATCCATGTAGCTAGAGATCCTACACATTACAGAAAAAAAATATAGACAAAGAAATGTAAATAACCCTTATATTCAGTACAGATGTCCTGTAATCAAACTTGTTCTCTTAAAGTGCTATTATCTAGAAGTTACCTCAGTACAATAATTGTGTTTCTACACTATCCATAAGAAACTTCTATCCTATCATTTACAGCAGGGGTAGGGAACCTTTTTTGGATCAGCAGCCACTGACCCACAGAAAAATCAGTTGGGGGCTGCACACAAGTGAAAAGCAAAAAGAAACCCCAAACCCTCGCTGATGAAGCCTCTGAGGAGAAAGACACTCCCCACATTCCTCTCGCACACCTAGAGACTAGGAGGGCCCAGCCTAGTAGATTCTGTGTTCCAGCCCTCCAGTGGGGCAGCAGCAGAGCTGGAGCACCAGCATGGACTCCCCAATGCTGAGGGGGTGGAGGAGAGAAAGCCTTGAGGGCTGGATCCAGGTAAGCTGGGGGTTGCATCTGGCCCTTAGATTTCCCACCCCTGTGTTAGAGAGTTAGACATGAGTCAGTTTGCAAGTACCTAGGAGAGCTAGGAGTAACAACTTTGGTAGAAGTACTGGTGGTATAGTGGTAAGCATAACTGTCTTCCAAGCAGTTAATCCAGGGTTGTACCTTTTCTTGTTTTTAATTTCACTCAGGCTGAGAATCACATTCCCAATGGAGGGAGGGAATTCATGTCCCAAATCCTTGCAGGTCAGGAAAGACACAGCAAGGGATCTACAGCATGGGACTAAGCCATGTATCATTTTAAGTCAGAAACCAGGCAAACCTGCATCTGTATCTCCTTGTCTGCTTTGTGCCATGCTCAGTCCTGTGGGTGGAGATGCAGGGCTGTGGGCAACTCCCCCCTGCCACAGGCCCTGACTTCCCCATACCCTGCTCCTACCCCATCCCTATGCAACACAGCCCGCGGTTTACGGGGGGGCATAGCAGAGGTAGCAGGGGGTGCCCCCCAGTATTCACTGCAATGGCAGGAGCCGGCTCCACTCTGTCCCATGACTATGCTTTCATTTTACAGCTTTCTACAGCAGTGCCCTTAACCCACACATACTGTCAAGAGGCTCCTACCAGCAGAGATGTGGGCTGGGATTCGTTGGGCAGCCCAGGGCACACGCACTTGCCCACAGAGCAGTGACTGTGCTAGGGAAGCTGGGCTGGGCAAAGAAATGGATATGCTCATTTAGGGGGCGTCTACACAGCACCTTAAGGTTGAAATAAGTTACACAATTTGCATAGTGCAAATTGTGTATCATTTCTTTTTGAAATAGCTTATTTCAAAATTAAATAACGTGCTATTTCAACACATCCCTTAAGTCACGTGGAATGTGAGCACAGAACCTGGTCTGTGCTCCCAGCTGTCAGGCTGCCTCTATCTCTTTGAGCCTCTGCCCATTAGAGTAAGGGTGGGGAGCTTTTTTTGGATCGGAGGCTGCTGACCCATAGAAAAAATCAGTTGGGGGCCACACACACGTGAGAAGCAAGAAAACTCCCCTGACCTTCACTGATGTGGCCTGACTGAGGAGGATAAAGACACTTCCCCCATTCCCTTCACACACCTAGAGCCTAGAAGGGCCCAGCCTAATAGATTCTGTGTGCTCCGGCCCTGCAGTGAGGCCGGAGCACCAGTGTGGGCTCCCCCATACTGAGGAGGGTTCTCCCTCACCGATGCTTGGGGGCTGGATCCAGGCAACCGGGAACTGCACCCAGCCCCTGGGCCTTAGGTTTCCCACCACTGATTTACTGACACGTTTTCATTTCTGCTTGGTTCTTGACTTCCATTGTTTAATTCTGCTCATCCCAATTACCAGAGACTTTTCATTTTGCATTTTTTCACTTTTATTTTCCTGTTTCATTGGGGAGGGGGCTTAAACACCATTTTAACACAAACTATTTTGGCGGTACTCACATATATACATGTAAAACTTTTCTTCTTAAGTACCTAGACAAACAATTTCTCTGTGCCTGTGTAAGGCCATGGCTATATGAGGAGTGCCTTTGAGATTCTTGGTTATACTAGTGTGTGGTTTAACACTACCAACCCTCCCCTTCATTAGATGCACTATACTATGCCCTTCAGGGTTTAGAGTATTATCACGAAATAGTAGATTTTCACTAAAGCTACTTAATTATTTTCTTAACACCTCACTGCACATAAACAGAGACATTGTGGCTTCAGAAAAGTAAAGTTTTTGTATAAGTCTTTAATAAAAAGAACAAAAAATATATATAATTAAGCATTTTATGCAATGCATACATTCTTTGTATCTGCAGGTACAGATAAATAACAGAAGGCAGAAGCAAACATTTTGCTTATCTTTGGCAGTTAACCAGTATCACCCCCTCAAGAGATATTACAGGGTCATAGAACAATCGAAGTCTGTAAACATCATATGTTTCAGATAATACGCCAGGCAACAATACAGTAGTTAGATTTCAAAATTTTAAGGATTTTTTTCTTCACCACCACCTACAATTTAAATCTATCCTTTTTGTTGCTGCAAAAATTAAGGCCTGCTTTAAAAGATAAACATGTTTGCTAACTGAAGTGATGTTCCAGGACTTGCATTCTATCTACTCCATCTTTCAACTCAACCTATTTCCCATAACCACACATCAGCACTAATGAAAACTAAGCGGTACCTCCCAACAAAATTAGCTAACAAAAACTAAGCGGTACCTCCCCACAAAATTAGCTAACAATTTCGCATCTGCGGATCAGTGTCCTGATCCCCAACTAATGTACATACATTTAAAGCAGTTAAGCTTCTTTAAATCAATATTTGTCCAACTCAGTGTCCCAGAATAATAGCTATCCTTCTGCTTTACAGCACTGGTACATCTGATGTCTCTACAGAAGCAATATATACACGATATACACTAGATCAAAAAAAAATATTAAAAGGTCCACTGATAACACAGCTGCTTACATCTACATATGTACATGTTTTCACAGTTAAATTTTAAAAAAATTGTCTTGAGAACTTCAGAAATACTTCTATTGTATTTTTCGATAAATAATATTAAAAACACCAATGTCAATTCAGAACAAATTTTTTAGATGTATCAAATTTAAATAGATCTTGAACATGTGTAGAGTTTGAAGCTCGAAGGCTCGTAAAGCTTGAGGTTTCTTTAAAACTGTACTTTTACCAGTTTGAGCAGACTGGTCACATGCAAGGGATTTAAATCTGGTAGGAAAGAAACTCCACCACTTTGGAAGGGACAGGCAAATTCCTGACTTGGCTAGTAGGCATCACTCTTCTTATAGCCATGCGACACAAGTGTTGAAGACTAGACACATGCTTTGGAGTTGCCCAGAAGTACACGCTTCCATCATGTGTTCTGCACACAAACATATAAAAGTCAATTTATTTCACAGAGCTATCATCAGAATTGCATACCCTTACAATTCAATAGCTAGCGAAAGGCCGGCAAAATCCTCTCTCTAAACTACAAAAGTTACAACCGCATCGACTTATACTTACAACCAACCTCCCATTAAGCACATTACAGCCAGTCCCTGAGCTTCGAATGCACGATCCATGCTTATGAACAGCGCGGTCACATTTAAATGAACCAAGTCTGACTTACGAACAGATTGAGTTACGACCAAGTCGTAAGTTGGGGACTATCTGTACTTGTTCCCTAACTCTAATGGTAAATAGCATAGTTGACATTGCACACTGCTCTCAGGATTTTGGGCTGGGGCTAAAAAAGCACCCAGCAGACCTCACTCAAGCTATGGTGTTGCTCAGGCTATAAATAGCAGTGTACTATCCTAGGGAATTCATGGGGCGTATGCAGGGCTGCCTAAATCATTGGCTCCACAAGGAGAATTCTCCCCAGATGGCTAAAAGGCTTCTACAGCACTCGCACTTATGCTACTGTAATGTGTATGCATCGAGCCCACATTTGTGCCCTGCTTGATCGTTTCTTAAATACTAAAAAGAAATGAAGTGAAACTACACTTGTTAAACTAGAGGCTGCTTGAATAATCATAGATCCCTCCTGCGAACAATCAAAAGTAACAATGCATTTAGAAATGAGGAAGCTAGAACTGTTAGTTAACATCTGCAGGGTACTTTGAGAATGCATAATAATAGCGCGTTAAGTGTTAAGCATTATTTATTAGCTATATACTTGCCCAGCAGCTAGAACACTGCCATCAGTAGAAAAGGCACAGCAAAGCCCATTGCTCAAAGGTGCAACTTGCACAGGATAATCTTCTTCAATACTCCAGAACCTCACCATTCTGGAAGGAAAACATAAGCTGTTAAAAAGTAGAGTACCAAATTCTGAATGCAATTCATAATTTATGAAGTGCTAACCTAACAAATATTTATAATGCACTGTCTTCACCAGCAGTCATGCAGTCCAATGGATTTCAACCTTTCATTTGCAGATCTCTACAAGAGTTATTAAATGAAGGTGTGGACTCCTTTGGAAATCAACAGTCTGCAGACTCACAGGGATCCATGAACTGACAACTGAAAACCGCTGATAGTCAGATGTTTCAGTCCAGTGCATTTGAGAACTAGTATCTTTAGTTATATAGTTCTATTATTTGTGCATCACACAGATACCAATTCTATAGAAATATAATGCAAGTGGCTATGAGTTTCTGCAGCCTAAAAATCTTTTAACTGATGATCTGGAAGCGCAGACTCAGTCTAAAAACTTTAGCAGATGTTATTTCCACCATGAGTTCTCAGTACTCAGTTTAGCAAGCTACTAAAACAAGGTAATAGGATGATTTTCCTATCTTTTTAAAGTAGAAGATTTTAAATTGATAAACTACAAGGAGCCCTGTGGCACTTTAAAGACGAACAGATTTTAGTTGGGCATAAGCTTCCATGGATAAAAACCACTTCATCAGATTCATCTTAACATGCCACAGGATGCCTCTTTTTTTTTCCATTACGAAAATCATATACCAAGCCACAAAAGTAAGACAGGATGATCCAAGTAACCACACTCACTTTTTTCTTGAAAAATACAAATACAGATGCACGCTATTTCAATTGTTTATTGAAATCAAGTTACATAAAGTACCTTTTTTCTCCACTATTTTTCAGCTGTTGTATATTTGCAATGCTATTTAAGTCATCTAACCTGTACTCCATGTCTTGTTTATTTTATATGACTATGGGAGGGAGTTTTATAATATAGACCATCATTCAGAAAGCATGGCATTGCCACAAGCAGTTAGCCAGTTCTCAATTTAAAAAAAGTTGTGTGCATTACAAGGAATTTTTAATTACTGGGAACACCACAAATGACAACTCTTGTTCTCATACTTACTTATCATCAGCAAGGCTTGCAATATGCAGTCCATCATGACTAAAAGAAACAGATCTCACCCATCTGTCATTTGCTCCCCCAGCAAATATTGGAGTAGGAGCGGGAAACAGATGCCTGTAGGCAGAGAGGCTCAGTTAACAGCATAACCAGTGAAAACTAGGTAGAAGTTTGTTAGCCAGTCAATGCTAAACCTCATGAGAATTTCTTCAAAACATTTGTCTCCAAAGTACGAGTTAAGAGATACTGCTGCACGGTTCTAGGCATCACAATGTTAGATATATACTCAAGACCATCACTAGCAGATTTTAAAGCACCAAAGTCCTGCATTACACATTTTCATTTGCAAAGAAAGTGCTTTGACAGAACTGAGGTTTGAGCTAAGTGTTCATCTCAAAACAATCTCCCACATTATAAAGACAGGGGAATTTAATAATATTACTATACCTTTAAAAAAGTTTTTCCTGCACGAGAGTGACATCACCACCTCGCTCTGCATCCCTGAGCCCCTCCCCCTCCTGCTAACTCCATAATGGGGTCGGCAACCTATGACTTGCAAGGCTAGAGATCTAAATATGGCTCTGACTCCTCAACAGCAGCACTCACCTTCCTTGCACCTTGAAGGTAAATTGCTGCTGGGCTTGTGGGGAAAGGATGGGAGAGGGGGAGGACCGCGTGGGCGAACGGCAGTGAGGCCAATGGTGGGAGGGGGGGCGCGGTACACCTCAGTGCCCTGAGCCACCACACAGCAGCTGGCTGAAGCTCCAGAAGCTGCCACATTAAGAGTGGCTGCCATTTTAAAAACAGCTGATCAGGGGATCCACGTGGGGGTGGGGTTCGTGACTGAGGTACACCCCAGACCCCTCAATTGCTGCACAGCGGCTGGCTGAAGTTCCAGCGGTCACCACGTGGTGGGTGGGGGAGAGAAAGTACCAGGCTGGCAGGGAGGAGATGGGGAAGGGGCCCAGGCTGGCACCACCACAGCCTGGGCCTCCCTGGTGACTGTGGGGGGAGCCGGGGATGCCTACCCCTTGTGACAAGGGAGTTGGTGAGCACAATGAGCAGAAGGTGCAGCCCCACTGTTACAACATAGAGCAGTTTTCTCCCAGGAAATAAAATCTTAGTGCTTGGTCTCAATTTGGTACTTCCCTCTGTCCAAACCTGTTGTTTCCCTACTATTAGTCCTGCCCACCAAGTCAGAATTATCAAACTGTAGGAGAGGAAGGGACGTCAAGACATGATCTAGTTCAGTCCCTTGCATTCTTCTTCTAATTACTGTGCAATTACTAGGTATACCTTAAGATTTTTATAAGCTCTTGAACCATTTTAGCAATTGTTAATAAATATTAACCTGTTATGATTTGTGTATGTTAAAAATCACAATTCTTTGTATACTGAATACTCCCAAGAGTCCGTGATATATTAGCCAAAGTGTGTCTGGACTGCAAAGTCTCAATACTTGTTCTTAAACTGAACTGAGTGTGTAACCAATGCTAAGGAACTTAAGTTTTGGACTCTAATTATTCCCTGTTCCTCTCAGTCCAGTATGAGTCCAGGTGCCCAGGAAGACTCTTCTCAACTCATGAAGGATGTCTATAGAAGTACGTTATAAACAAGACAGAGTAATGGATATGGGGTGCTTGTAATCTAATTATATTCTGTGATTGATAAAGCTATTTATTATTGCAGATGTGATGAATGAAACACCACCACCTTGAAAAATAATTAAACTCTTTAGGAAGTGCTGGTTGCGACAGCTGTAACAACGGGCATGACATTTTTGTCTCATCTGATAAACTTCCCCCAAAAATTTTTCCTTCTAAATGCGAACTGAAACAAGTGGTCACCACTTCTCCAGCAGTATAATGTTACAGATCTTATTGTAAATTCCAAGAGGGGATATTTAAATACTCTGCTTACCCAAATTCCATTAGAATAACTCCAATATGGGGATCCCAGACATAAACTCGAGTATCATAAGATGCAGTAGCCAGTAAAGCTCCATCAGGGGAAAACTCACAAGCTACAACATCGTTGTGATGGCCTTCTAGTTTCCGAATCATGGTGTATTTATCCATATCCCAAAGAAAAACCTGAAATTAGAAAAGCTAATGTTATAGCTTTTGCTCAGATACACAATGCTGCATTTACATTTCTTAATTGTCTGCTAGTTTTACTTAGGAATATATTAAATCAAGCATTATAAATTACAATTAAAAATATGCTCGTGTCATACTCAGATTAAAATCAGTTTTTTTAAAAATTAAAGCAGACATGCAAATTCTAACTTGAGTTTGTTAATGTTATTTACAAAATAAGCCAAAATATAAGAAAGGCAATGCAATTTAATCATGTAGTTTTACTGAAATCCATGTATTATAAAACTATTTTATTAAAATACACAGAAATAAATAGGGTTAAGCACTACATTCCCCACTTTTCAGAAATTACCAAAATTTTAAGAAATATACAGACAGAAAAAGTAAGGTTAACATATTGTTACTCCAGTGGCATCCCCTTTGAGTTTAAGATCACTTGTTTACAATACGCTTGGATCACCAACGTCAGCCTAGGAAGAGAAACAGATACTGCAAGCAAAGAGAATTTTCACAGCCAAAAGAAATGTCTTTGGCAACATAACAAAGAAGTGTAACCATATTATTTTAAAAAATGTATGCATCTTAAGCTTAATTATATCAACAAAACATGAGTATTGTAAAATGTATAAGCAGCTGGAAAATTACTACAGAAATTGGTGAAGTATGAGTATAATACTAACTTGGGAGGATTTTACATGTAGTTTACTATGGAAAACTGCACTGATGACTGTGCAGACTATCTTAATGAAGGATCTATGATGTTTTAATGTAATGTTACAGAAAATAGGCTAACAATTTATGGGTACATAACTATATTAAATCTGTCCCTGTAAGTGCTCTTTAGGTCTTTTCCACCTCCCCAGTACAATTTTACTACAGATTAAATTCTAACAATGTCTAAATGCAAACAAATTTAACCAAAGAAAATGGTATTAGTGCCTCACATAATTACTAAATGAAACCATTTTTCAAGTCAGTTAGTTACAAGTATCGTGCTGACCAGTTTCACTAATAAGACCCCAATATTTCATAAAACTGGAAAATAAAATTTAAGTTTTAGGAGTCAATGGGTTTCACTGCTGTGAAAATTAAAAAAAAAGAAAAGAAAGAAAAAAAGCAGAAAGTGGACATCAACCAGCACCTGCGTACGTACAGTACACCTTGCAGTCGAACGCAAGGTTACTTCGTCCTATGGTAAAGTTCGCCCCCAGCCTGGTAGCCAGAGATGCCACTCTTTCTGCCCAGCTAACACCATTGTGCGCCTTTGTGAGTGGTGCCAGCTTACCCTCAATCACACCAATATTGCTGCCACCACCTGTGACAGGGAAAGCAAGAAGCTTATGGAAAACACACAGCCTAAAAATATCAATGAATACATCCACATCTGTTCTATTTTAAAGAACTAGACTGTTCTCTATCGAATCTGAACTGATAATTTACCAAACTTTTTTAAAAATATAACGCATTCTAACAATTATCCTAGTAATTAGTCTTCAATGTTCATATTAATTATGGTTTTGCTAATCAATTAACTTTAGTATACTAGTCATAGAAACTATACACTAGTCTTTTCTCTTTCCTTTATTTTACACTAATAGGTTTACAGTGCCAAGAAGAGCAGTTTATCATAAAACGTGCTTTACCTGCACTGCTTTCAGTTCTCTAGCAGGACATTAGAATACAGATGGAAACAGAACCAATATGCTGTTCTTCATTCTAGATGTTTTAGATATACGAGTGCTAGTTGTATTTGAGAATATGTGGAAACATTTTTATTCAGCAGAGGAGACCATGACCAGCTCAGACTTTGAAAAGTCCTTTTAATTGAGCGGGAAATAGAAAGGATAAAATCAACAGCAAGACAAATTGATTAAAACAGTAGACTAGATATTCCATTCTTAACACTACATTTTACTTTCTTTATTTTTATTTTATGAACAGATGCAGATGTGCAAGCTACTTCAAAGGATGCTTAAAGTTTCTTCAACTAAAAGCAGTGCAAGTTCTCCGTTCACTAATCAGCGTATGAAGGCATCTTAGGTAGTTTACTTCAATTTATTTCATGCAACTTCTTGCATCATAAAAATTAGAAGTTCATGACACCGAGCACAAGCTTTATTTGTTACTTAGATTTAAAATGATTATACACACAATTCAATAATAAACATATGAACAAGAAACTCTGATACATACTGCTTTACTGGCTCCAACTGAACAAAGAATGGAAGAGTCTGGAGAAAAAGCACAGCCATACACCCAATTCTGGTGCCCTCTTAATACTTTCATCATATTTCCTGCAAATGAAAAAGTGGCATAACTAGGAGAATAGTTCCAGACTAGTAATCCCCATGAACAATCAATTCCAAATCCAATTGTATTTATCCTTTCAATAAGCTGTTTTCTGAAAAATATTGTATTATTGTGCTACACTACTTTGTTTTAAAGAGATGCTGACTGTATAAAAGTCACTTGCCATATTGAAATAGCCTCAGAATTCTATCTTAACCAGCAGGGTCAACACACATATTATGGTAACTGGCTACTGAACCTCACGGACACACCTTACTGAGGAGTAGATACAGTCTACATCAGTGGTCCCCAACGTGGTGCCTGTGGGCGCCATGGCATTTCTGTGCGCCTGCTGACTGATCAGGGCTGGCGCCAGCCCCGGAAGCGTGGTGTATGGGTGTCCCGGCCCCCTGGGCGCGCGGCGCATGGGAGCGGCGCCGGCCCCCTGGGCGCACAGCGCAGGGGCAGCTCCACCTCTGGGCGCGCAGCACAGGAGTGGCGCCAGCACCGGGCATGCAGCATATGGGTGGCCCCGCCCCTGGGTGCCCAGTGAGTGAGTGGCCCCGCCCCCCGGCAGCCCCAAAAGGTGGGGGACCACTGGTCGACATATATGGATAAATATTAAATGGCTATTACCAGCTGGCTGAGATCAATAATAGGGATGCAGGAGAGTAGTCGACAGTCCAAAAAACTTGGACTTATAGTGAAACAACTTAAAGCAGCGAATTTTTTTCCTGCGACTGACTTCCATTTACACAAATTGGGGATTTTTTTCAGTGACTTAAGAGCGGGAAATGGGAGGACTTATAAGTTCCTACAAGCGTCAACTACTTTAGTACAGAACAGATGTATACCAGGACACCCTGTGCTCGATAAGCCTAAGCTTACTGGAGAGTAAAGATGACTACTTCCTCCCCCCTCCGCCCCATTGCTGACTGATACAGGGGCAGCAATGATGGAGGAATAGGAAACAGAGCTTAAAAAGCTGATTCCCCCAGCACTGTCTCTGCGGTGCCACTGTGGCCCAGCTCTTACTACATTTAAAATGAAGAATCACAACAGTCTTGGCTCACACTGGTGCAGGACCTACCCCCATTGCGCCTCTTTAATTTAAATGTTGTAGGAGCCGGGCTGCCTGCATGCCTGTCTCCTTCAACATTTAAACTACAGAACCGCAGCGAGGGTAGCTACTTCTGAGCGCCTTCCTTTATTGACTAATCATGTAGTTGACACAAATTGTATCGACTACATGATTAGTCAATTATCCACCTCAACATCCTTACTTAATAAAGGTTTAATCATTGAACATGTACATGGATATTGCTGCTGACGACTGCAGATTGCTATATGCTCGCCCAACAAGTGAACTTCAAAAACAAACAAACAAACAAAAAAAAACCCCAAAACAAAAAAACCCATATCAAACAGAAGCATACCATCATCTTTCAGGTCCCACACTCTTAGTGTTTTATCTCTTGATGCAGACACTAATATGAGACTGCCATCTGGGGCAAACGTTAAATCTCTGACCACTTCAGTATGATCCATCAGGTTAAGGAGGAGTTTTCCTGTTGCACAAGAATGATTCCGATTAAGAGAAAAAGTGCATTAGCAGTTTTTACTCAAATCAAACACCCAGAAATAAATCAAAAATAAAATTCCTTCCTCTCTGCCTATTTTGGAGACTGGCTAGAACACAGATATATCTAAAATATGCAAAGAAATTTATCTTGTATACATACTTCATAGCGATAAGATGTATTTAATCTTTCAACTTTGGCTAGGTCTTGAAAAACTACACTTCTAAAATCTACATGCACTAACAAGATTAGTTCTCGGATACCTAATCTAAGTGAATTACCTTTTAACTTTAGATTAAAGCACCGTTTTGCCCAATATGATGGTAATTACAAGTTAGACTGGAGGACCTCCTCCTTTTGTAAATTCAAAGGTTACAACTATCAGCCTGTTTTAATCTCATCAATATCACCTATTTTAAGCGGGGGGAGAGGGGACACAATAATTATCTTTAAAAAACCTTCCCCATAAATGAAGTACAAAAGGGAACCCTTTTCCTACCTGGAATGCTTAGTTTTGCATTAAAAAAACCCAAACCCTAAAAATTCAAATTAGTAGTCCCATATCAAGTACCTACTTACACACTTCTATGGACAGAGGCCTAAACCAGTATTTCTTCCCTATATTCCCCAGTTCTCTGCCACACCCAAGTTCTAAGGTGCATTAACAGGCGAGATAAAGCAGTAACAAAACAATGATTTGGTATGCCATCTGCCAGTTTAGCCCAGAGACAATGAAGAAGCACAAATGAAGCATTTTCCCTTTCAACAGCATTTCTTCAGTATAATTGTAGTTGCACAGGTTCCTTCTATTTTTAGACCTAAATTCGTTCATTTTAACTAGCTTTCAAATTGGCATTCATAAACTAATACACAGATAGACTAGCTATTTTAGTAGATGATCTAGCTGCAGTGCGGCACTAATTGACAATGGCAAGACAAACATTTTGAACACACTCCTGTACCTGTGTATGCATCCCATATTTTGATGCGCCCATTGTTTAAGCCAGTTGCAAGCAGAAGCTGATCTTGTCCAAATTTGAATCGATGCCATTCTATATTCACACAGCGACTCTGTTTTTCAGGCACTGAAGACCCAAAAGCAAGACTCCAGACTATATCACCACAGTCAATTATATGCTCACAAGGCTTATTTTTTTGGCCACTGTCACTGTTTTGTCTTGAAAGTCTTGAATTGACTGAATTTGGAACATTCTTTGTGCCATGTAACAAACTGTAAAACAAGTCAGCATTTTAGAAGCAATAAGTTTTACTCTATAAACATCAGGAATAGAGTATTTTATTTCAAAAAATCTATGAACAGCCACAATGCACCTATCTAAAGTATCGTCACTTAGGATTTCAAAATAACAGTCCCTTGTTTCACAGTTGTAAAGAGAGTTTGCCACATCCTAAAACCTTTCCCATTATAGCAATACATTTTAGTTGCTGAATTCTGCCTCTATAAAGAGTAGTTAGCTTTTACATGCTATACTTAAACTGAAAAATTTAGTGAGAATCTGAATTTATATTAGAGTTAAGTATTTTAATTTGTTAAAATAAAGATTGGAATAGAGAGGGATCCTTTCTGTTCTCTTACAACTTACCAATATACCATTCAAAACACCACATTTAATTAGAAACACCCTACAGACATTGATACCTACATAAAAGAATTAATAAAATGAGCACAATACAGAGAAAATATATTTGCTATATTGGGGAATATAGATATCTTTGTCAAAAAGAATGACCTACAAATGAAACAAAACTGTGCCACAGGTTTTATTTTATGTGCTGAAAAAATGGTGAGAATATTCTGCTTGTTTTTTAAGTTTAGCGATGTCAAGAATATATGGTCATGCTCCCTGATTTTGTTGGAGACCCAAAGAACTGAAGAGGGAGCTTCCCCTAGTTCTCAACTGAAGAGGTAGGCTATCTGAATCTCATAAAACAGCTTCCCTCTGTGTTTCAGGAAGTTAAGCAAAAATTTAAGTTCACTTCCTCTCTTAATGCACAAGTCTGTCTTTTACTTGTGTTCTCACTAGTGCCCTGTCTCCTCCTTATATAAAAGGAATACAAACAATTTATAGATTAAAAACCCAAATAATCCAATTTCTCATTTATACATCTTAAAAGAAGCAAAACCAGCACACCAGCCTGTTTTTTTTTTCTTTTGCAGGTCACCTCAGATTCTTTTACAAAAGGAAGAAATAGGAGAGAAACTGAATTTGATAGCAAACAGCACAATGTTTAATCTTACAAGTTATTAAAGCACTGAGTCCAGGGAACAAGCTTTACTATGCGATGTCCTTGTGACCAAGCAAAGTAAGATCCATCAGGTGCAAAAGCAACAGTCCAGTTTTCACGTCCACACTTCTTATCAAAAGGAGATGTTGGGGCTAAGAGTTCTCCTATAGGACGTGATCTTGCTATAAAAAAAAAAGGAAATTCCATTTAAAATGTGAACAAGAAATTCAGCATATTTTAAACTTATAACGAACACTGCTGATATTTCTAAAGCTATTTTTTTTAAGTCAGGCATATTAAAGTATTTTTTCATTATTTTTTGGCTAGAAAAAATGGTTGACACACTATACAGTCATTTCAAGCCTTCCTGAGTAGTGACTGCAAAAATTTCAGGTCATTAAACAGCAGAAAAGTACTTACTTAACCAATAGGAAAACCACACCCTGAAGTAATAAGAACCCATCTGAAATCACATTCATGCTATTATTTAAATTACCTTAGCCTCCAGTCTTACAGATAGCACCAAGATTTGCCACTTTGCAATTCAAGCAAGTACTTCAGTAGAGCTGACCAGAAAAGTGACATGGTGAAATTTTTAATTTAAAATGAAATGTGTGCAAAGTCTTCTACATTAGTAATGTGTGACAAAACACAACGTATTGCCAGGCAAATGGAAAAGTACCACCAAAAATTCCAATTCTAAAGACCATAGCAGAATAGCACCAGGCAATCAAATTAATAAATATTTTTATTCTTATTTACTGGACTCAAACACTGAATATCTTGTCCCTCCAATTTAAACACAGGGGCAGTTTTATTATCCTCATTACAGGAGGCAATAGACGTAAGAGGCCAGAATAATGCTTTTCATCAAGTCCTTTACAAATGCAAATTTGAAAGGGACATGTACAAAAATATCACACATTGCTGGTATGAAATTATAAAAATGTTTAATGAACATGCAAATTTTATTGCGGGTTTATACTGAAATAGGAGCATTGTAAACTGCCTTCTAGCTTCTGCCTCCCTAATATGAATGGAAGGAATTGTGCAGCAGCCCTGCCCTTCATGATGAATACCAGCCCCAGGCAGGTTGCACGTGCTGTCTGTATTCATCTAATGGAGGGAGGTGGCTCTGTGAGTACACAAAAAGCCCAACATATGCAATGGCAGCTATTAACCATTCCCAAAAAAGGATGGAACAGTGAAAAATACGTATTCATACAATGTTTTGTGGCTTTAAAAGAGACTCTTAAAAACACCAGTACAAAGTAAATAGCTAAAGCAAAGATTATATATATTATTATTTTTTTCTCATTAGAAATGCTTTGCTATGCCTTCATTGTCAGGATTTTTTTGTATTACCAAAATTAAAATACAAATTCCCCCCCAAAAAAAACTTCACATAAAATGTACACTATCATATACATTCAGCTATTTTTAAACCAAGTGACTGAAACACAATCGCTTTAACAAAAAGAACAATTGTCAGACAATCCATTTTTTATTTAAGCTGTATTTCTATTTCAAATCAGCAGTCATCTCTTATTTCAAAACTGAAAAGGCAAGAACAAAATTCTGCCAATCTAGATTGTTGCATCAAGTTAAATGGAGGCGTTGACATTCATGGTCTGAAAAAACTGCTCTGCAGCTACGTGCAGCTCCCCCCATCTTCCTTCCCTTCCATGGAAGCCAACAAGGTCTCCCTCCCCCCTCAGGCATCTCTAGATGCTTCTTAATGTGGCCAAAACCTATGACCAACTTGGCACTAGCTGGATCATCCCCAAAACGACCACAATGCAGATTCTAACAAAGCTTATAGCTTTAATTTTTTGCAGCCACATAGCTGGAAGCTTTTAGTACCTTTATACTATATCAATAGCCACCACTGCCTGGGTTCCTTCTTGGTACCCCACATCTCAATCTCTCCATCCACTCTCAGACTCCCAGAAGCCCCCTCTCACCACCCAACATTTCCTCCAACTAGTATACAGGGAGAGCCCAACCCCACACTCCCCAACCCTGCACTGCACTGCCCACACCTCGCCAGAGATTTTTCTCCACTTCCAGTGAGAGTACTAGCTCCCCATG